GATGATATAGGTCTTATTTATCTTTCTCTCATATATATTTATATATATATTTACATATATTTATATATATATATGCATGTTTCTTTTCCATTTCATTCCATATTTTAAAAATGTAAACACTAACTATATTTTCAATTTAGATACCAAAATATTAAATAAACTGGCATCATTTCATTTTTTTCCGAAGATTTTGGTAGAAATTCTATTTAATTCTGCCAATTCTTTATAAATTCGGGTTTTCTGGATAAAATGGGCTAATCATCTTTTGGTAAATCTATAATATTATATAATAAATTAAATTTAGTCTTGTGGTTTTAATATTAATTAATAGTTTAATTTTGCTGCCACTAGAAAACTATTTTAATTCATAATTTAATCCACTAGAAAAAATGGAACAATGTGCTTTTCTCATAAAGGCATATTGTTCGCATTATTTTATTTTTCATGGATTGATTTTTTAAAAACGTTTTTAATCGTTTTGAGATTAGTATAGCATGTTTTCTAGTTATCTTTCATAATGAGTTTTCAATTAAATCAGTGCACTTTAAAAGAATTTCATTACCAATTTAAATGGCATAGAAATAAAATGGTGTGCTTTTGTTCCTGTCCTTTTTCACTTCATGCTTTCATTTAATAAATATATAAATAATTAATGTTATTTGAATGTATTAAATAAAGAAAGAGCAGCTTATCCAGTGAGAGAAAAGGTTTTTATTTCACACTAATACTTCCAAATGCATTCATTTCTTACATTCATCCGGACGTTAATGAATCAGGAGGATTTAAATGAATAATTTCACAGATTTGCGCTCAATCAATGTTGGTTCAAAGTGCAACAAAATAGCTTTTAATTTGATTTAAGTAGAAGTCAGTTAGAAAAAATTAATTATTATTGCTCTCCCACAAACTAAAGAGATAGTTTGGCTTATCTCCCTGAGCATGCATCTATGACTATTTCGAAGAAGTTTATAGAGTCATTGCAAATTGTTCTTCAGCATGCACCCTTTAACTACAATCAAATTTCCGTAGTTTCAGAAAATATTTTTCCCAGAGGCAGTAAAGGTAATGTATTATCATTTAAATATTAATATCTCCTTCAGCATGTATATATGACGGTTTCGAAGAAGCATAAAAGTCATTGCAAATTGTTTCTCGGCATGCACCCTTTAAATACAATGAAATTTCCGTAGTTTCAGAAAATATTTTTCCTATAGGCAAAGGTAATGTATTATTATTTTAATAATAATATCTCCCTGAGCTAGCATACATGACCGTTTCGAGGAAGTTAATGGAGTCATTGCAAACTGTTCCTAGGTATGCATCCTTTAACTACAATAAAGTTTCTGTAGTTTCAGAAAATATTTTTCATAGAGGAAGCAAAGGTAATGTATTAATATTTCAATAAACAAAAATGTCAACCATTTCCCATCAATGATTTAAACAAATGTACAAAAGGTCAGGTAGACATAAATGGTTATGAGTTTAAGTTCTAGTAAAAATTCTATTTGCTTTAAAAGTTTCTATTTTGGTTCCCTACATCTAGAAAATTGACCTCTAGAACACAAGAAATCTGCCAATTCTGAAGTATCTCTTGAATATCACACCTGCTATGTAAAAGATAAGAAGTGATGATCTTGTTTTATGAACGACATAAGCAATCTACGCCGACATATGTCACTTTACGTCATAGAAGCTATTTTTATCTCATTAATAATTTTGATACAAAATGTAAGAATATTTCCCTAAGAGGTCTCGCTATCTTTACTTTAAATTTTGGATTCTCATTTTTTCTATGGTATTTGGTCTTTACAAACTTTCGATGATAGAGTATCCGTTCGACAGTGTCAAAAAATATTGTAAAATAAAGACGTTGTTTTATTAAATTAGAAGCAGTGAATAAATTTTTTTCCAACTTTTAGGATTTTTTTAAACAATGTAAAGCAATGAAATTATACAGTTAGTCATGTTCAATATGTCTGTGTCTAGTTTTATTTCAAATTGAAAATTTCTAATGTAAATAACGCAAATTCCTTTTAGAAATCTAAAAAGAGAAACACGTTCTCTTTTAAGATTAAAAATAATAGTTTATAATGCTAACTATCTTTCAAAAATTATGGTTGTAAAATTGTATGTTTCAGTCAAGAAACCAATTAAAATTTTAGAACAATCCCAACAACGTTTTTTTTTTTTTAATCTATGTATTTATCATGTTTCAAAGGATTACACTGGTCAAAACAAAATTAGGTTAGTTTTTTGCAAATGATATCAATTTTCGTTTCTTTTTAGTTCAATCAACATTTGTTTCCAGATTTCTGATAAATGACTTTAATTTTGCGTGATTTACGTTTCAGAAGCATCCAAATTGGTTCTTCTCAATTTATCATTGATTGCCGAATTGATTTATGATATAATTTTAATCGGTTTTCATCAGTTTAAATAGTAATCAAAGCAAATTTTTAAAAAAATCGTAAAACAGACAAATGTTTACTACCATTAAAATCCTTCCAAACGATAGTGCAAATTGATAGTCAGTTTTATGATAGCACTAGTATCGTCAACAAAGTCACATATCTTGGTCTTCACCATCAATAGAGATTTAAACTGAAATAACCGCTAAAATCATTGCAAAAGCCTTTTAATAAATTAAACTGTATAACAGGTGCCTACTCAAAAATGTCTCTTTAAAACAAACGTTAACTTACATACGATCAATAATCACATATGCATCTCCAGCAATCATAAATAGATCACAAACTTAGCACATATTCCAAAATAAAATGCTTAGAAGAATAAAACAGACCTTATTATAGAAGAAACAAAGCCATACACACTGATTTCAAATTAAAAACTTTAACTGAAACACTCATGACCTTAAATGCTAATATGTCTATCTATCTATCTATCTATCTATCTATCTATCTATCTATATATATATATATCTATCTATCTANATACAATACATTTATATATAATATATATATATATATTTGCTTCAGCCACAATGACTCCTGCTTAAAATTTAATAAAAAAAAATTTTTTTTTTTCATTTCAATTTTCTTTTGACTGAATCGCGATATTGTGACTACTCAGACCTGATAATAATTTAAATGGTTTTATTCGGTTCTAAAAATGATCATTTTCTTGTTTTTAAAACTAGACGGAAATTTTGTAACTTTAAACTTAAATTGGATACCATAATTTAGTTCTTGATACTACAGTCACTGTAACAAGTTTCACAATTCTTTTCTTGAATTAATCATAGGTTTTTAAAATACCCTTCTACATTCGAAATATATAAAAGAGCTTTATTTTTTACCTAAGCATAACTACTAACTTTTCCGCTTAATTGTAATATATTATTAAAACTAATTTATATACAATACATTATTTTGTGCTTAATTGTTTTCTCAAACTTTTAGTTTAACTGAGATGCAAATACTTTAAATTAATAGACCTACCTCTGGGAATCCTAGTGAAGATGGTGTTCTTTTAAGTTACAATATATATATTTCTCAAAAAAAAAAACAAAAAAAATGAACTAAATTTTGAACGCTGATGATTTCGGAAACTATTATCTAAAGATTGTTTTTGTAAATTTCAGAGTCTACAAGACCATATGATTTGAGTGTTAAAACAAAATTTGCAGAAATCGAAAGAAGTCCTTCACCAGAAACGCCTCCTTATCCTGGTGTGATTGAATTCTCCCCAAAAATTGTAACATCTAATATGACTCCGTCAATTGGAATTGCGATGATAGAAAGATCTTCACCCAATCATCCTCTAAAACCATCTCTGGAAGCATTAAATTTTCGTTCCTCATCGGACATTGGTGTAACTGCTCAATCTTGGCAAAGATCACTGTATCCACCAACTTTTATGGCTTATCCTATTCCATTCATGCCTCGACCAGCAACAGATTTCGTTAGTCCACCATCAGTGCCACCTTGGAGAAGTGGTCTTCTTGGTGGAGGAGCAGCTCCTTCCCTCGTATCAGCACCACGAATCCAAATGACAGAAGGTTTTTATGAAAAATCCCATATGGATTCTCCATCTTATAATACTAATATATGGCCTCAAAACGAAGAATCTGTATCTATACCAGAGAGTGGAGAATTAAGTAAGGAATTAGCTGGTAATAAATATAGTTCAACGGGAGCTGCCCGTTATTTCTGTTCCGCATGTAGTAAAAACTATGCTACCTATAGCGGTTTATCCAGGCATAAACAGTTTCATTGCATTACATTAGAAAAAAAAGCATTTAATTGCAAATATTGCGATAAAATTTATGTCTCTTTAGGAGCATTGAAAATGCATATACGCACTCATACCTTACCGTGTAAGTGTAATTTGTGTGGAAAAGCATTTTCAAGACCATGGCTACTTCAGGGTCATATAAGAACTCATACAGGAGAAAAACCTTTTGCATGTCCTCATTGTAGTCGAGCATTTGCTGATCGCTCCAACCTACGCGCCCATCTACAAACTCATTCTGATGTGAAAAAATATAGTTGCAATGCCTGTAGTAAGACTTTTTCAAGGATGTCTCTCTTATTAAAGCATAATGATGGAGGATGTGGAGCGCAACAGAGATCTAATCTCCCATTTGTAACTATAGGATCAATAGTTCTCACTTGATTCTGTCATATCTCTCTGGCTCAAAATTTTATAAAAAGTGGTGGCAAGACAAATTATTTTCACTTCTTTCACAGATAATAGAGCCGGTTTTAAGTGCTTCTTAAAACATTCTATAAATATTAGGAAAATAATCCCATATGATCATAAATATCAAATGACAATCGAAATTTTTAAAATTTAAACTTGGAATAAATGATTTAAATATAAAAATTTTGCCTAAGGGTGATCGTAAGTATACATGCTAATAGTAAAATAATTTTGCTGCCACTTTTTGTATTTTGTGCAGAATCAATGTGAGTCAAGATGTGTGAAACATGTTAATGACATAAATAACTGTCGCTGGCACGACAATACCCCGCTCAATTGTCCGCATGAAAAGTGGACACCTTGAGAAGAGTGCATCACAAAGTAAGTTCACTTAACACTAGACTGAAACTTAGTATATACCTAAATTGCCCAAAAGCAGTCAAAATTACTGGATTGGATTGTAAAAGAATAACTAATGTATAAGGAAATTTGTTTAAAATTAATTTTTAATATTTTTTTTTATATTATTTACAGTTCTATAACAAGTTATTAGTAAATATTAACAATAAAAAAATTATATGTTCGACAAAAAGTCACAAAATTCCAAGAAATTGTGCCATTATATACATCATTGTTTTTCTAATTGAAATGAAAAAGCAGTCAAAATGACTTCCTTGGGCAATCTAGTGTTAAGAGCATTTCTTCCTCTTCAGAAGATTTCGTTAAAATGACAGCTCGAGTGCTTAAAAATTACGATTTAATTTGAAGACAGTTCTGTATACTACAATAATATTTACATATGGAACTGAGATTCATGGCTTTTTAAAAGCTAAATTGGTAGGTAACAGAAGGAAATATATACAGATAAATATATACTTTCCTCATATTCATATATTGTTTATTGCTGGATATTAATGGGTTAAGTCAAATGTTTAATGTTTATGGCGAAACACTGACTACCATTAATATTTGTGAATAAATAGATTCCGAAAAAGTGTACATCAATTTATCAAGAGTTAAATCAACACCATTATCTCCCATAAATCTATTGTTGTTTGTTGATGTCATCTGAGCAACAGCTTGTTTGCCTTCATCGACAAAAAATATGACTACTTCGTGGTGTTGTGTTCATCCTTATTAGTTTGAATTTATTTTAGATGCTCTTATGTGAATTGATTAAATAGTCTAATGCGTCGCACTCTTCTCACATTCCCTAAATAGCGGCGCTGATATCTGACATGTCCACATTTCATTAGGGCAGCTCTTATAACTAAAAAAGATTGTATTTCCAAAGAGTATATAAAATATTTTTATTTTGAAATTAAGTGTTTGTTCTAGATGTTTGTCTACAATTTTTATTATTATTATAGCTCTTAATTCTTTTCTTTAAAATTGAGATACTTCTTGAAAAGCTGTATCAAATTGACAATTTATATATGCTTAAGAACTGTTTTAACTATTTCAAGAAAATAATTTTGTGCTTCCTTTTAGTGTGCCAAATTTGATGACATTTTGTGATATACTGTTCTCTCATTAGCTTGTTAAAAATATTTTCGATATTAAATCAAAAATACCATTATAAATCAACGAAAGATTTCTATAAGGTTTTCGAAATGAAAAACACGTCTTTCATTATTGAAGTATCTTGTTTTCTATTACATAATGTTTCCATGAACTTTTTTCCAATAAATCCTCATTCTTAAATTTTGACAATTGTGAGTGTTGTAATATGTTAATAATAAAAGAGATACATTTTGTTAAGTTGTTATGACACTTTATTATACTAAAAAGTTAGACAACACTACAAAATATTCAATTGGTCAAAGCATAAATACTTGATCACTTTCATCTTCTTCTATACTTTGATATTTCTTATGTTTCTTTAAAATGCTGCATTTTCGCAGCTGTAGTCACAACGTCTTATTAAAACCAAAAAAAAAAAAAAANAAAAAAAAAAAAAAAAAAAAAAAGTGGTGGCAGAATTCAGACATAAATTTTTGACTGAAACAATATATTTAGATTACTATCTTTAGTAATGATATTTAGTTCCTAAACAGGTTATTGACTACATAAAGTGGCATTAAATTATTTTTAAAAACTTTAAAGATAAATTATCTTTTTAATGGAATACCACGTCCCTCGGAATGAATTCAGTTATTGCTACCAATATTTTGAAATAAGTTCCTAACAGGAAACAAGGTTCATAAATAATCTGAAAATAAACTAACTATACAAAATAATCTAAAAAGATAAATAATTTAAAAAAACAACTTTTTGAAAAAGAGACTTAAAAAGAGATAATACGACTTAAATCGTGATGAAATCGAGATGTTTTTCGCCGAATATTATGAAAAAAAGAGCAAATTATTAATCAGTCGTTTCATTTGATCGATTTGGTACCAGTAGGTTTTGAACTGCATCATAAAAAAAATTTTCGCGCATTTCCGATTATAATTATTCCATAAGATTCAATATTTACGAATTTGTGTTAAAATTCTTAATGAATTGAAATTCGATATAAATATCACAAATCTTTATTGAAGTGAAAAGAATCAAATGATGAAAAATAATGAAATTAGAATAATACATATTTCAAAGAGTGCAGTTATAATTCCGGTGGCATTCCTTGGAAATTTTACTGAATCGGATAAAAACTAAATGAACTTACGTTCATTTTTACAAAATGAATTATTTTTTTAGGAATTCCATCAAAAAGCTAGAAATGTATACTTTTCTAAAACTTTTATCATAAAAACTGGGTTCTTTCATTATTGACCCAAGTGTTTACATGTAACTCTTCTAACATCTAACTCTTTCAAAATTGCTCGTTATATTACCAGCAAATGACTGATCATTTGATTTTTAAATATATTTTTAGGTAATGTGTAATACATTTTACTAGAAATAACTGTTTATCTATAAAACAAAAGTTTTATCGGAAATGTTTATTTAGAATAAGACAGCACAAATAACTGGATAAAAATACCAAGTATAGATTTGAAAAGATAATTACTTCACAAAATAAAATTTTATTTATTTTGTGAACAATAGATAATTTGAATAGTTAAAATTATTTTTTAAAGAAAGGAAAATATAAATACGAAACTATAAATTTCAGATTCCGGCAAATAATGAAATTCCATGGATTGCGAATTATTATTATTTTTTTTTCTTGGAAAGTTTGGCACCTAACCAATCACAGGCGATGTAACTCTCTACCAATGTTAGACAATTAAATAGAGAGATAAGGAAGAAATTTTACAAGTACCAATCTAAGTATATATAAATACATGTGTCTTTACTTGAGAAAATGAATGATAATTTTTTGAAGTGACATTTCGTAGTTATAAAGTTTATACGTTGACAGTGCAAGACCATGTCTTGTCTTGTTGTCCTGATTTTCTTAGATTGTAATTGGGGAAATCCCTAACCTACATTTAAGATTTATGACGTACTCAATCCTGACAGTCGACCAAAATAAAGGTTTTGTAAGGTTACTCGTTCATTATTTATTGCCAAATTGACTTGAATCGTTCTTCCACTCCGAAACTATGACTTGGAGCCTTCCTCCTCTAGAGGAATAGAAAGACTTAAACAAAATAAATGAGTGTATCATAGTTACTTTGACTAAAATAAGAACTAAATTTTTTCAAAAACATTAGTTATATCCTTCCTCGCTTCAATTATTATTATTTTAAAGAGGAAATGAATTTCTTTATAATTAAATATTGCAAAATGTTTGCATTTATTTGCAAAAAAAAAGGTAAATGTAACTGTTCTAGTCAGCTTAAAAAACCAATTTTGTGCCATATGCAAAAAAGTACTGCCAAATGTATTAAAAGTTAAAGTATGTCTCCTTATATCCGTCAAAATGTCTCTTTAATAGAAGCAATTAAGCGGATCTGTAAATATAAATACAGTAATTCATGTTATTTCATTTATTTAAATATTAGCTACAAATGCCTCTTAAGCTTTTCTTTTAATATTTGTTTAGAATTATTATTATTTGTTTAGAATTATATAAATTCTCATTATTATGGAACGTATAAAGAAGTTTGTTGTAGATTTGTTTCAAACATATTGTGGATATTTTCTGTTGCAAAATTTATTGTTAATAGAATTGTAGTATGTAATGACATTAAAGTAATTTCACCGGTGAAGTATTCTGCATGAGCTTTTGTCTGGCTTATGTAAGTATGTAATTGTTTATTAATAAAAACAAAATACAATGAAGTTACTGTTTATGATCATTCATAATTGTTATGTATCACACGTTGCAGCTGAATAAAAAAGATAAAATGGATGATTTTGTGTCATTTATGTTTATTTCCTCAACACTGTCTCTTAACGCCAACAATGGTGGCAACTACTTAACATCAAGGAGGTGTAAGTGATTCACAACACCATTCGTTTACACTTCTTTGTGTGAAATTGTTATCCTGTGAACACTAAAATATATTATGAGGCCACAATAGGCATTACAGATTTCCTAGCTTTTAAAATTACTTAAACTTGTTTTTTTTTAATCATTATTAATCGAATATATTTAAATTAAATCAATTAGTTAATTTTTTTAAAAAAAGCGAACATAAAATATCTTATTCTTTTCTGATCAGTCAATGCTATTTTATTTCAATACTAATGCGGACTCATTATTTCAGTCTCGCGCCTAATCGAAAACAAAAATTTGCTTATAACTCTTAATTATTCATTTCTTACCTCCAATATGTTTCTGTTACATGGTTATACTAATTCTCACAGTCTTGTTGGCGATTCGCGATAGCCAAAGAATTTTCAGATTGGCTTTATTTTTTTTCTATTTTATTTTTCGTTAAATCACCAATCTTGAATCTCTTCCAGGCTCCTAACTGTCCGTTGGGAACTATTCAATCACTTTTTAATTTGACTTTTGATTACGCAAGTCATTGGGGATTTGTCTCCGATGACCTATCCTTATTAATAATATAATGCAAAATTTATTTAATTTATAATTGATTATCATCACAATCTTCAATTAGTTTATTATACCATATGACTCCAACCACACCTGATTCCATCATTATATATATAATTAGTAAAGTTATTTTTACAATGAAAAGTTATTAATTTAGAAGGCATCTAAGCAGCATTTCTTAAGTTAAACATAGTTTGTTAATCAAAAATACACACAAAGAATATTAATATGAATTCGAACTAGTCTTAACAAAATCGAAACTTGTAGAAATTAAATATTACAAAATAGTTGAATACTATTTTATTTTATTGTATAATCTTCGTTGAACAGCCGATCCAATTTTTGGGCTTAGGACTACTCAGGTTCAACGCCGTAGCCTTGTAATTTTGAACCCAATCCAGAAGACAAGGCAACTCCTCGATCAAGTATTGGGAAAAATTTCCCTTCGTGTAGATCTTTTTGATAAACTGACCCACATTTGCGTTACATGGAGAGGAAAACCGTGAAAAACCTTCCATGGATATCCTGACGTCAAGGGGACTCTAACCCATGATCCGTCTATCACTGAGGATATTTTACGTCAACACTGTGGTCGGTGCAAGTCGGATGCGGAATTCGTATCGACCAGCCATCGGCTGGGATTTGAACCCGGCTCACCTTATTGGAAGGCAAACGCTGTATCCCTGAGCCATCTCGGCTCATTGAATATTACAGACAAATTTATGTAAATCTACTTAAGACTACACAACCATCTTTGTTATACAACTAAAACCGTACATGTCTTTTTTAATATCAGTTCACTTTTTTTCTGTTGAATGCTTAGCATCTTGCGAGGAGAAATCAAACTTTCAGCTTCTCTGCTCGATTGTAAACAAAAAATATCGATCGCCTGACTGTTTCCAACCGTAAGCCTAAATTGGTGAAAAAATTCCTGAATGGAGATATACATCTGAGCTTGGTGTAAGTTTTATCAATTATCAGTGTTAAGATTAAACTACACCCTTTAAAGTGAGCATGAATGCAAAATTAAACAAACTTTGTTATACCTTAATTGTTATTATAAGCATTATCTACAATTTCCGCCTCAGTAAACCTGCGAACTTGTTTCGATTTATCAACAGATTTTTTTTCAATATAGGCTTTATCATTAATTTAATAAATTTGATTAAGATTTATTTAGCCCACTACAAGCAACTTTATAAAATACAATACGGTGAAAAGCAGGTAAAATAAAAATCTTTTAATATTTTGGGAAAAATAACGAAAATAAGACAAATAATTTTGATCATTATTTTATGTAACGAAAATATATCCTTAGCAGAAATCCCTGCTATAGACAGTTAATAGTATGGATATCAACAAAGTTTTGTTAATGTTTCAAAATGTATTGAGAATCTTTGAGAAACAGCAATATTCCATTTTTTGCACTATTCTAATGTTCACCGTCAACCAAATGGTACATTAGTATGGTACATACTGTAATGGTATCTTGTAAAATCAAGTGAGAATTTACTCAACAAAATCCTGCGTTTAGTTTTGAAAAATCCTTAAATTTAAGACAAAACAACAACAAAAAAAAACAGCTTAAAATTATTTAAGATTTGAAATTTTTTTTTCTTAAATTCTATTTTATGAATACAAATAAGTAAGTGCATAAATTACTAAGAATATTTAAAATGAATTTCTTCCTAATATTTCGAAACTAGAAGATTGGGAAATAAAGGATTCATTAATAAGCGCGTTCATATAATTTAAAATAAAAGAAAATTATTTTTGTCGAAAAAATTATTTCCGTTTTCGAAAAGTGTTGATAAGTTTTCGGTGTTTCTTAAGAGGTATACTTAGTGAAGCATTCCCGGAAAACAGGTAACACTTGAAGTAATAATAAATTGAACTGCTTGGAAACGCCTTTTCACTACCTAATCGACAACCACACCTGTCGAGGCCATCTCACTATGTTTTTCCTACAAATTTTGTTTCTTTTTCAACTTTTTAAGCAGTTCAGAAATATTTATTACTTATATATTTAAAATTTAGTATCGTAGGATTACTTCTTTTGCTGTTATTACGCAAATTTAAAACCGTTTAATAACAATTCAAAGAACAATATGTTATTATAAAACCATATAGTTTTGTCTCTACCGAGGAGGTTACCTTTTTTATTGCTTTCAAAGGTATCTTAATAAGATACTTGGGCTTAAACTCTAATGATAACTTCCTCTAACACCATAGTTTTTTTTCCTTCTTTGTTTAAAATTATGTATTAATAT